CTAACAGCACCTTTCATTCTTGCTCTGGGTTACACATGCAGACTTTAAATAGTTGCAGTTTTATGATTCGCTGGTTTGCAATTTGTGTAACAACACTCAAAAACAGGACTTATGACAAGTTTTATTATTTCAAATAGTACTCATTTGACTGATTCTCCCCTCCTCATAAACACAGGGACCCAGAACACCTGTGGCTTGGCCAGGTTTACCTGGATTATTCCTGATGGTCAGCAACCAGCTGGTTTCTGGATGTGCCTTTTATACCATGGGGAGAGTGCACGTTTGGAATGTTTTTCTTATAGTCTTATCAATTGTAAGTCTTAAACGCAATTGCTGAGCCTCCATGTGTTTGTTTTCCTTGCAGAGGTATTTTATGACTTCAGTGTTTTGTCACCTTATCTTTATGGCTGCAGTTTGTTTTTCGTCTCCTTCCCATCTGCTCACGTGAATGGAGCCACTGAGCTTCTGTAGGTCTTCTTTTAACGCTTGCATTGTTTTTGTTGGAGCTTTTGTATATTACCATTCCTACTTCATTCTTGTAAATCCTACCTATCTTAACATTCATAATGGATACATTCCTGGATAACAGTGAGATTACTTCTAAGGAGTTTTGTTTTTTGCAGGGGAAGGGGAGGATTGTTCTGTGTCTTTCCTTTGAGCTCATCCGCAATATGAAGATACACACCTGTTTGTTGAGCACTATTTGAGACAGTCAGGACCAGAAGTTGGGAGGCCAACAAGCTGGGGTTCTTGAGGCAGTGCCACAAAGCAGTTGCTCTGAATCATGAAGAGAGCATAGAGAGAAATGAGAGAGGCTCACCCTGCCTCCAGTGATCTTCTGGCAAAAATAGCCTGCCGGAGCTTGGGAATCAGCCAACCTTGAGGAATTCACCATGGCCTGAGGGCTGTGTTGGGAAGCCCTGGGAATTGCTGCAAAGAGCTCTGTGTTGCTGAAACCTAGCAGCTATTTCTGGAGAGTATTGCTGCCTGCTGAGCCCACAGGAGTTGACGCAGGACTACACAGGTCTGCTGCAGCCTTCAGTGCTGTTTTCATTCAACCTCAATCATCAGGTGAATCAACTATGATGTTAAAATGCCACTTTTTCTGATGCATGTTCTGCAGGAGTGACCAGAACATGTTGCAGATCCTTTGCTCTTTCCTTGCTCCCATGACCCCTGACTGTTTGTGTTCATCTCTCATCCCCACAGCTGGACAGCAGCTGCTCCAAACTGATAACTCATAGCTTAGTTTGCTGCTAGCTGCTAACTACAGCATGGGGAGTTACCTCCTGTCTTTGTCCTCACTAGCTTAATATAAGCTCTGCTTCCTGTAGCTAACGGTGTCCCCCAGGGGTCAGTACTGGGTCCAGGCTTGTTCAGTGTGTTCATCAGTGACCTGCATGAAGGCACAGAGCGCACTCTCACCAAGCTGGCTGATGATACTGAACTGGGGGGAGTGGCTGACACATCAGAGGGCTGTGCTGCCATTCAGAGGGAGCTGGACAGCCTGGAGAGTTGGATGGAGAGGAACCTCCTGAAGTTCAACAAAGGCAAGTGCGGAGTCCTGCAGCTAGGGAGGAATAACCCCATGCAGCAGTACAAGCTGGAGGTTGACCTGCTGGCAAGCAGCTCTGCAGAGAAGGACCTGGGTGTCCTGGTGGACAACAAGTTAAGCATGAGGCAGCAGTGTGCCCTTGCGGCCAAGAAGGCCAATGGTCTCCTGGGGTGCATTAGGCAGGGTGCTGCCAGCTGGTCGAGGGAGGTGATCCTGCCCCTTTACTCAGCCCAGGGGGTTGCAAAGATGATGAGGGGACTGGAGCATGTCTCCTTTGAAGAAAGGCTGTGAGAGCTGGGCCTGTTGAGCCTGGAGAAGAGAAGACTGAGGGGGGATCTCATCAATGTGTACAAGTATCTGAAGGGGGAGTGTCAAGACGATGAGGCCAGCCTCTTCTCCGTGGTGCCCAGCGACAGGACGAGAGGCAACGGGCACAAACTGAACCACAGGCAGTTCCATCTGAACAGGAGGAAAAAATTCTTCGCTGTGAGGGTGGCAGAGCACTGGAGCAGGTTGCCCAGAGGGGTAGGGGAGTCTCCTTCCCTGGAGATATTCCAAACCCGTCTGGACGTGATCCTGGGAAATATGCTCTAGAGGCCCCTGCTTGAGCAGGGGGGGTTGGACTAGATGATCTCCAGAGGTCCTTTCCACCCTCAACCGTTCTGTGATTCCTAGTAAACTACAAGCTGCTAGGGTCGTCCTGAGAGAAGTGGTTTGGATAACTTGAAGGTCCCCCAAGCAGACTGTTACCGTCAGGCAATGTAGCTGGAGCAGCAACAAAGCCCTTGAAACATCACCCTGGGTGTAACAGTCTGCCTTGCAGGGAGCTAAGCTGGTGGCACAGGAGACTGGTTTGGCCAAAAGGGGAGCTAAGTTGAGCTCAAACACTGAAAATGTCCAGGAGGAATAAAAGAGATGGGCTACCTAGGATATATAGAGTAGCAGCCCAGCATGCAAGGACAGACTTTGGAAGGCCAGAGCTCAGATGGAGTAGGAATTGGTGAGGGGATACGAAGGACCCTTCCATCCAAAGATAATCATTCATATGTCTATCCCATAGGCGTTAGAAGAGTTTCTTCCCCAAACTCCTTACAATACTGCTAAGTGGTATTAAACCTAAACGCTGTATCTCATCAGCAGGCAGCACAGTTCACATAGCTGCTCATAGTTTTCCAGCCCTTTCGCACCCTTCTGCATCCTCTCAAAGGGACACGTCAGAACAAAAAAAGGTTACAGAGAAAGGTGAAAACTGAAGTGATTGCTTCCCTGAAGCAATAATTAGGAAATTTAATAGACTGATTCAGCTGGAGGGCAGGATGGCCTTGGGAACTCTTCAGTTCCTGGAATCCTTTTATCTACACATCTGCTGCGGTCATCCCCACCTCATCCCAGCTGTTCCGATTCCCACAGGCCAGACTGCTATCTGCATACCTAGAAGCTTGAACCTTCCTTTTAGGTTAATATGGTCAGTCATTGCCACCTTGTGGAGGTTTGCATCTTTCCCAAATTTGTCTGACAACTGCAGGTGGGGATATTTTTTCCCCCCCTGCCACAACTACCCTGCACTCTCCCTGCCCTCTCCTGTACCACACCCTGGACCACATCCTGCTTTCCCTCTTCTGGAAAAATACATTTCACATGGGTGTGCATGTATATCTCCACAACAGGTTTTCAAGTTCCTCAGATGCTTCTAGTCAATCCTCATCAAATCTGGAGGCCTTCGCCCAGCTATGCCTCTTAGTTCCAGGCTGCAGGCAACCTCCATTGTAAATAATGGCACTGAAGTGCAGTTCTCTCTCAGCTGAGCTATGCTGAGTGCAGCTTCCCACCACCTACCAATGCCATGCAAAGATAGCCTAGGAGCTGCACCAAATGCCTGTCCCCATAGTTCCTACTCAAACTTTTCCTGCTTGCTGCCAAAGGTTCTGTACTTGGTTTTCATCTCAAGGAACCTCTTGAGAGGTTTCAGCAGCTGAGGTGGATTTAGTACACAGCTATTGTTTCAGATGAAGAGCAGAGATTCCATGCCATGGCCAGGCTCCTGCTAAGCCTGGTTTCCCATCAGGCCTGCTCTGCCTGTTGTCAGCAGGTCAGGCTCTTCAGTCTCTCCTTAAGGATCAGGGACCAGCACTACGAGAGAGTTAATCTAGCTAGGATTTCATCAGTATATTCCTCCCCTTACCTACCAATCAGGACCTGGGTATGGAGTGTTTTTTTTCCAAGGAAGGCACATACAGTAAGCCTTGAGCCATCCCACGACTGTTTGCCCTCAGGTCATCCACAGCTTGACTTTCAATCACACGGTTTGCCGTTGTCCTAAGGCTAGAGAGTGAGGAGTGGCTGGCGCCCCCCCCCCCCCCCCCCCCAAATAGATGAGAGCAGAAAGCACATGTTCTGGGCCCAGGTACTAAACAAAAGCAGTCTCAGCTCTGCACCCAGCCATCCACAAAGTCCAGCAAACCCCACAGAATGCACCCTGGCAGTGCACATCAGCAATAGCTCTGACACAGCTTACTGAGGGGAGCTCCTGCTGCTGGAGCAGAGGCAGATAGCTGGAGGTAACCCAGTAGAGTTATTCCTACATAAATCTGGGAGAACTAGTACTCCTTGAGTTTGGAAAGCCAGACTCTGGAGGGTTTTTCCAGCTCTAAATGAAAGTTTTGAAAAAGTCTAACATGGGAAAAGACCCTTTCTCTGGTCTCCAGATCTTTCTGTCGCTGCTCCAGGGACTTGAATCAACCGTTTTATATTCCAGTCTTCTACTGCAGCAGTGCTACATGGGTGAGCCAGCGTATCTCATAACACCAGGCCTTGTTCAGGCCATGACATCTTGGAAAGCCTCCTGAAGACAAGACAGGCAACTATGCTCCCCTCACCTCACCGCACACCCAGGTTTCATTGCACTACGTCACCCCTGCAGGCTCCTTTACCTTCCTTTTGGCTCCCCCAGGCCTCTCAGCTTTACGCGCTACAAACTGCTGCTTGCAACATCATCTCTGTGCTGGAGAGGGCAGTTTGCAGCAGGATTGTACATATCCTTCCAGACTAACTCATCTCTCCTCCTGTTACCAAATGTTTGCAGCCACTGTGGTGCATCATCACCATTGGTATGACCAGTGTCAGCTTTTGGGGTCTTTTCTCCCACCTTTCCCTCTAAACCCAAGATAATTCACAGGTGCCCCTGCCTGCATCTGTCTTTATCTCCTCTGCCCCAAGCTGCTCCCCTTCTGTTGCAAAAGATGTGCCCATCCAGTCCCATGGCTAACTCAGCCGCTATGAGTTGCTGAGTTGCACAGAAATCCTTGTGGCCTTGAAACTGAATTCACACTGCACTGTAAGGAGAGGAAAACATTCATTGTTTCCCCAGGGTGCTGGTGATACATAGCACCTGTTTTCTGACAAGGCAAACAAAGTTTGGGCAGTGTTTGAGAGCTTTAACAGAAGCTAGTGACTTTTTTGCTCTTTTAGAAAAGTTGAATGAGGTATTCTGAGGCACTGAGAACCTGGCAGGCTGAACACATCTCAGCTCCCTCCTCCTCTTCTGCAGGACCAGAAAGCCCACAAAACTCATCTCCTCCTCTATTCCTCTGGATGTTAGGAGGATTTCTCCTCTCCCCCACCGTGGCATGACGCTGCCCAGAACCCCCAGGCACCTCTTACCACATGGTCACTGTTGGCTGCCACAGGAAAGGATCAGCTGAGACAAGACCACAGGGCTGGGGATATGCCACTGGGTGGCTGCACCAGAACAGGCAAGCTGAGCCAAACAACCCTGCCACCCACTGGACCACAGCCCCTGCTGATTCTGAGCAGCTGAAAGTTGCACACAATATAGCATAGGATAATAGACAAACTGCTAGGGCCACAGTTTGAGAGCTGCAGCAAGAGAAGCAAGCAGTCTGGTTCATTCAAGTCTCCTACTGTTTAGAAACTTAAGAGGTGCACAACAAAGGCTTGCCTAAGTTTCCTTAAGTACATAAAAAAGCATTAAAGCTAATGGACAAAAAAAGTTGCTAAGAATGTGTTCAGAACGTCATTATGAGGTTGGATACCAGGCAAAGTTTTGAACACCAAGTTTATTGATAAAACAGTAGAATAATTACATCACAAATACTCTTTTCAGAATCACAGGGAAGGTGGGGGGAGTATCCAACATCCTTCTGGTCAAGGCAAGAATGAAAATTTAATGGTTAACTGGAGTAAGTAATACACCGAGTGCTACAAGAGGACATACGGAAGTGATGTGTGGATGGTTAGGAGAATCCTTTCCCAAGTGTCCTGTTACAGCAGTTTCAGAACATGCAGAGAGAGTTAAGCCAAGGAGTGTCATTATTTCACTTGTCTAATCATATACAGTCCTCTTGTCCACTCACTGGCTTGGCCATCTCTTTCATTGAGTCCTCTCATTAAGCCTCATTAGAGCACACAGCTGAAATAGTTTCTGTGCTCAAGGAAGCAGCTGTGTTCCTGTACACTCACACTGTCAGCCAGTCCTCTGTAAGAAAGAAAGTCATGTAACAGGCCTCCAGAGAAGAGCTTCTTGCTCTACTGGTTTGACAGCAAGGCTTTCAAAAGGGGCTGGAATCATTACCTGAGGGGGGATAACATATGAAAGCATTCTTTCTGGGAGCAAGGGTTTCAGGAAGAAGTTATTTCTTTTCCACCATGTACATCAAGTTTCTTGAACATCTATCATTTCTTTCTTGGAGGGATCTTCTCAGAAAACTGCGTCAGTGTAGTTGTGTTCTTGCAAAGAGCAGATCTCTCTGGTGAGAGGCAGAGGTGAAATCAGAATTCAGTGCAAGAGATTACTTTCTCGCATTTTTTATGGCATGGTAATGCTGGTCTCGCTGCCCTCTGAGTGAAACTCAAGCCATTTAGCAAGCAAAAAAATGATAACTGAGCACTCTAGACTATCACACATGTGTCAGAGCAGACACCCCCAATCAGAATTTAGTAAGACTACTTGCCCCTGCTCCATTTAGTATAAAATACTTATTCTCTATATCTAGGTCTTGTTAAGAGGCCAGAGCCCATGTTATCACCCAGTGAAAGCCAGTCTAGTCCCTGTCCTGAACCAGGGTATCTCCTCCCAGGAGAAGTACTGCTGCTAAAGAACTGAAAAATCCTTACACCTTAGCTAGGTACTACTATTATACCTTGCTCTTTAATGAAAAGGAGCCACTGCACAAACCTCAAATTGTGGCATAGCTATGTATTTTGAAGGGAATAAGCTTTTCAGTCTGGTTCCTTTAAGAGGAAAGCTGACCTAATACCTTCAGTTCCTCACCACATATCCTGGGAGGGTGGGATACCTCCAAGCTCTGTGTCATTCTCAATGGCCTAATCTTAAGAAGACGACCTGCTTTCAAATAAAGCTAAGTAAGTATTTCAGCCACAGTATGCTCACATGCTAATTCTCAAAACTGCATGATTCCTGCAGGGGAAAAAAAAGCTAAAAGCTTGCTGTGCTACTCTTAACCAGTTCTTGGCACTCCAGTTTCAACACAAAAGTTACTTTGACCTTTCTCAGCCTTTCCTGTTCTTGTTTCAGTTTGCAATTACTTGCCTGGATCTCTCAGAGCTGTTGCAGAATTGACCTTAAGGGAGAAAAAGCATTATGCCAACTTCTACACATGAACAGTATTTCCCCCCTTAATTTCACTTTTCCCATGCTGCAATAGGCTAGAGCAGGATCTCATCTGAACAGAAATATTACATCTTAGTAACTTGGAATACATCTTAGTGCATTAGATTAATAAACACATTTTAGTAGCTTCTGTTTCTTAATGAAGTGTATTTTAGAGGCTTGTATTAGGAACTTCTCCAGAGAAGAGATCTGGAGAGAAGTTCAGGCACTTCAATTTGGCTTTCCCTCCTTCCTTGCTCCCAGCTACAGACCAAAGGGAGGCCACTCAGGAACTGCTTTTAGAAGCAATGCTTGTTTTCAGATGCTGTGAGTAGTGCATTCTTGCTCCAACATCTTATTCCCTCCCCAGAGATTTGTCGATGGCTTAGTTGTTGCCTGCTGACTCACGTAAGCAGTCCTTAACACATAGCTGCACTCCTGGTTAGTCACATAGCCAGAGTCACACAGGAAGTTTTTTGCGTGTCCTTTTCATGGTAGAAGCAAAACCCAGTGCCTTCATGCAAGACTCTTGATGGCTCATCCTCAGCTGAAGGGTGTGGTCAGCATCTCAGACTGGGAAAGTCTTGTTTTGAATAGGGTATCCCCTATTCATGCAGCAAGCTGTTAAAGGCTCCTAGCTGTTTTGCAGACCAGGAAACTCATGCATGTCTGATATGAGTAAACCTGAGTCACACACTAGCTCCATACCACAGGGGCTAGAGGCTTTGCCCATGGGATTGCCCACGATGTCCGCTGATGTAGCGGGAAGTCTCGCTTCCTTCATTTGTAATACTCAATGAGTAGCACAGCTCACCTTGAGCTGTAGCTGGTGAGCTACAGCCCTGCTTCATTATTCGCTGCATGCTTATCCAGGAGACAACACCCAAAACAGCATTAGTAACTGCAGAAAGGGTAGTTAAATGGCATGCAGAGGTAGGCAAGTCAGTACTAATTTAGACAGCTTGATGCAGGTCTGGAGGACTACAGAGCCCAATTTACTGTCCAAGTGTCCAGTCCGGTGTTATACAATATTGCTTTGTTAAATAGTTTAATTGAAGAGGACAAGAGAAAGCAGAAATCAGTAAGTCACCTTGGACTTTAGACTCTAGGAGTTTTACCTCTTCAGTTACATTTGTTCTAGTTTACTATCCAGGGGAACAAAGCAGCCCATCTTAGAAACTAAAGAACTAAGAGAACCAGAAGGTACACAATGGCAAAACTGAAAAGGTAGCAGCTCCAAGTCCTCTCTTAAGCTTCCAAGGTAGGGTGGACATTATGTTCAGGTGTTTAATACACAGTCTTACCTTTGAAGTCTCAAACCAAGCTTGACAGCAGATTAAGGGCTAGAAAGAGGTAACAAAGTGACCCATCCCTCTTAGGGACCATAGTCTCTTCTACAGCTCCAAAGTTCACCTTTCTGTATCTGGAAGTGAGATTGCTGCTTTTCATATGATAGACTCAAGGACATGAGTCCTGAGGACTTCTCCCAAAGCAATTATTGCTGTCCTGTGCAACACTATTTTCCATTCCTAGCAGTAGCCCAGTAATAGATCAGATTGCATTTGACACAAGAACCTTTGTATCCAAGGCAGCACTCCTTTAGCAAGTAACAACAATTATGTATGTTAGTAATAACAGGAACCTCAATGATAAAGACTTCTTTATGAGCTCATTCAAACATGAGGCAATATCCAAAAGTGAAGAATTTACACTTTATTGTACTCATTTACATAGACCAAAAGGACAGTTTCCATGACTTATTCTAGATAACTTGGTTAGATTTCTCAGTAGAAAAGTTACATGTTATAATTTAGCTGAAGCAGTCATGATCCCAGGTCTCCACAGTTGGAGATTAGACTAGACTTTTAATGGTCTCTTCCAGCTTCTCTCTATTGGCCCCAGAGAACTCCTGCACCTGTAAAAAGAGTTTGCTTTTTAGAGACTAGTGCTGCATGCAGTGTTTCATAACACCCATTTGCATTGCATCCAGAAACATATGCCTCTGTTCAACTTTGCATCCCTTCACTAATCAGTTTCTCCAGCCCTCAGTGGGGAATATGCTCATGTTTAAGAATCACTCCTCTCCCATGCAACTCAGACTGGGACAAGAGTCTGTATTAAAAAACACCTCCAGACTACCATGGCTGGAGCCATCTACATGCAAGACAGGAGAAGAAAACAACTGATCTTGAGCCAACCATGTAACAGACAAAAATGAAAGCACCTCTGGAGGTCACCTCACAGCAGAAGTAACTCAAAGTTATCTCAGGTTGCTCAGGAGCCTTTCCTATCAACTGCTGAAATGACAACTGCCTCTGAATGACCTGTCTCTTAGCTTGGCATCTGCTTTTAACATTTCATGTCCTGGTTGCAACTTACACAGCAAGACAAAGGCAACAGTAGTGACTCCAAAAACAAAATGTGGCTGTCTATTACCTACAGGGGTAAAAGGTACAGAGAAGACTACACTACAGGCCATGAAATCCATTGCTTGACATTCATGTGTCCTGAGGATGCTCCGAATTAGGAGCTACACAACAAGGTCAAGAATCATTTTCATACATTCACACCTCAGTTTGATTGCATTCTTTGCTGGAAGCAGAAGTTTGTTCCACGAACATCATAGATACATTATTACTCATTGTTTGGCCTCACATTGATCTGAACTACAGCTCATGCAACATTGGACATCCACTTTTAAGGAAGCAATTCCATTGCCTTCAGCAATGATTCTTACATCAAGACAGCTTTTCTTTTTACATAGGACAGCCTATGTAAAGGTTTACACATTCAGTTTGACTGGAAAATTAAAAGCCTGAGATGACATGTTTAGTTCAGTCTGCCTTTACTCCAGGTAGACACTCAGTCCAAGTGCTGTGTACAAGCAGCCCTCTACACTGTCAGAGGGCAGCTTGGGGTACAGCAGGCACAGAAGGTATATTCAGACCTTTGAGACAGACAGGCCCTACACTCCACAGGTTGCAGTGTCTACACAAGAGCACCCAGACAGCTATTTCAAGCTTCCATTTGGGTAGGATTCCACAGACATGTGTAGGGGAGTCTCTTAACTATAGTCTCTACTACTCCTGTTTTAAGTCTGCTTAAACAGGAACTGCATCCAGAGTACAAATGAAAACCAAGACCGGTAAAACCAGAGTGTTAAACAGACAACAGCAGGCTTGACCCAGATCTCTAACCCCACTAATATACCATGAAGCTCTGTAAGACTGAGCTGTAACGCTAACTCAGTTCACTAGCTCTGACTAATGAGTTCATTCTGACAGTCAACTTACTGATCCATGCTACATTTCAGCAATCATGTTCATTTGAATACTGCAGCTTAGGAGTGCCTTAATGCCAGCTCTGCCCTAGATACACTGCCAAGAGAAAGCAGGCAGTGTGGTCTAAAACCCCCAGTCTTCCCCTTCAACTGTTTAACCTCATGCTTGCTCCAGAAGAATGATCTTCCCCCCCACCAAAAGAAAAAGAGCCTACCTTCTTTCCGTTCTTGTAGAACTGGAATGTGGGCATGCACTTGACATCACAGTGTGTGGCAACGTCCTAGAAGAGAAAGACAACCTTCAGCTGAAAAGGTTTAAAGGCTGTTAAATTTAGTACCCACTAGTCCCCTTTCAATTAGGGGATAGCACAAAGCCATTATTTGCTATAAGCAAACAGAAGAGCACTTCTGGTTGTCCACCACTATGAAAGAAAGCAATGCAATGCTGCATCTCCCTGAAGCAAGTCTGCAAGATTATCCCTTCAGCATTTAATTCATACAGTCGCTGAAATATATGTTTACTAGATCTGTAATCTAACAGTGACTGGCATAGCCCAGATCTCTTCATCACAGAAGACTATCTGTTAGACTTGAGGTTGAAAAACAGGAGTTGCTGTAGGACTCGTGTTGTTTAAGTACCTATCAGTTGCTGTAACTGCTATATAAGCAGACATTTTATCCCACTTAAAATCAAGACACAAAAGAGAAACAGGACCAAGTGCAGTAGAGAGACCAGACTGAAATCACTAGGCAGTTTTCCAATTCAGTAGTTCTAGGGAAAATTGTATCAGCTTAAGGCCTTAAGAGACCAACACTTCCTGCTGGAGTTCCAAATGGCAGTGCACCCAAGTCACCTAAGGAATGCCACAGGGATCAGTGTGCAGATACCACAGGGAAATTTCTTCCCCAATCTGTTCGGTGTCCACTAAACACTCATTTTTCCAGTAAAGGTAACGAGCCCCCTGTCTCTATTTCTTGAAGGATAAATGGTCTCTAGTTATGTGTTAGTCTCTACAAGGGCACATTTTAAAGAATTTCTTCATTGTCACTTGTGCAGATGTCATTATCTGCCCTCTCTAGGCATCAGCCCAGGACCATACCTGAGCATCATCCACGTCAATTTCGATGAACACAACATCAGCAAACTTCTCACACAAACTCTAGAATGAAAAAAAACACTGTAGTTGAAGGAAAGCTTTCCTGGAGCACTGCAAAAGATACATTCATAGAAAGTGTAAGGCTTGCTCAACCTCATAGTGAGGCTTGCCTTGTTACCTTAAAGTAGCTATTTAACTAATCACAACAGCATTTGAATCTTCTGCTTCAGTGCCTGGAAGGGTCTGTTGAAACTCAAGCCTTAGGCAAAGCAAAGCTTATCACATGTTAAACATATTCCCCACTGAAAGAAAAAACCTCAGACATCCCAAGACACAGGTGAAAGACGGAGTACAGATAGATGCTACAGCACAAGTCCCACCCTTTTTTGCGGATAACATTGTTACTGGAGGACAACCACTTTGTACACAAGGATAAACATTGTTTTTACATTCTGTATCCCCAGATCTTGACTCTGCAACTCTTCATTAGGCCCCTGAAGGCCTGTGATGCAAAGCATTAGGGCAGTAGAAGTTAAAGAATATTTGAGCTCCCTCTTGAATCAAAACTCCATCTTTTTCACTCAGCCTATTCTACTTAGTCATGAAGCAAATACCTCTGAATTTTCTAAGATGGAGAAATTGCAGTCACAGTCATATGGCAAAAGGAAATCTCTATATTATTATTGTCAAGCAGCACAAAAACAGTTGGACATATTTTAATATAGTTGCCTGACAAAATGGATTTAGAAAGGCTACTTACGTGGAAAAATGGTTTGATCATTTTGCAGGGTCCACACCATGTCGCAGAGAAGTCAACGACTACGAGCTTCTCACCAGCAGACTTCAGCTCCGCTTCAAATTCTGACTACAGAGGGGTAAAAAAGTAATTGAACACCGTAAGGACTTATTTTTCCTCCTTTCCAAAAGGACTTGGATAAGTCTTATGGCTAGCTTACTCCGAGCCTTCACTTACTAGCCATTCTGGTAGCTCTTTAAACACCTCACTTCACTGATATTTGTATCATCAGGTAAGTGCTTCACTGAGAATTGTCTTCGTTATTAGCAGTAAGTGAGTATCTTCTGGCTGATTAATTAGAAAAGACTACAATGTTCAAACACCTCAACTCACTGAGCAGCAGCAATATGAGATCAAGTTAGAAGTCCATCAAGCCTTTGATCCCAAATGCTGCTGCTCTGCTCAGCATTACCCTGTGAATTTGATCATTTAATATTAACATTAGTTCTCATTTGTGTCTTAACTGGAAAACTTTCATTTTCTTTCAGGACAAACTTTCCTATGTGGAATTTGAAAGGTGCAGCAACCTTTGTACACTACTCCAGCTCAATACCTTTTCCAAGCAATACATAGTCTCAAAATCACATTGTGTATAGTTTATTCTAGAATGTGTTTTCTAAAGCAACAGCCTCTGAGGACAGGTATTTTTAGTCTGCCAAGTGAATTTGAGTGTAACTTCAGTAGACAAAGCAATGCTATACATGTAGCATATAGAACAGACAAGTATTCTGTGTATACACATCCATCACCAGATTTAGAGCTTCAAGTTAGTTTGTTATGCTGCTGGTCAGATAAGTCATATCTGGAGGCCACTCTGATTTAGAGCTCCTTAAATTAGTCATGGATATTTCGGTCAAAAAGTGGATGTTTCAGCAGAACTGAAAAACATGAAACCCAATAAGCATTTGCAGAATGCAGGTAAGCATCTCAGGCGGCAGCAGCAGAAAATGCTAATCAGCTGCTTCCTTACAGTTTCTTTTCCAAAGCAAGTACAAGCCACTTGAATATTGCTTAACTTTAGTTTTCTCATACCAGTGTAGGCTCCAGGACAGCTGTTAGTTTAACCTTCATGTCAGACTACACAGACAAGGTAGCTGCTTTCTTCTCCTCAACTTCAGACTAGAGCACTAGAATTCTCTATCAATAATATTTGGCTGAAAGCTACATAGTTACTGCCACACCTAAAGAGTGGCAAGTTTTACAGTGCAAATATTACAGTACAGGAGTTACCTAATGCCAGCTTCTGTAATCAGCCAAAGTAACTTGAAACTAGTGTTTAGTAAGCTATTCTCCCCTTAAAGAATGCTATACAGGTGAGAAGCCAGCAGTGCATCCAGTCAGCTTAGTCATATTAGGTTTAATAAATAAACAAAGGGTCCTTTCCTGTGGATAGGATTTTTCCCCTCCATTGTAACTGTCTTCAAAAGTACAATCTCTGGATACTAAGTTCTTCCAATCTTGCACCTTGGGTATTCAGAGTTTACTCTGCTGTAAGATCAGTAGCTAACACTGCATATCACCAACGCTTAGTTTACAAGACTGGGGAATGGTAAGCCTTCCCTTCAGTCTCTCCACATCCCTTTCACTCATCCTGAGATATTGTGC